CCGGTCATACTCTGGTCTCCGTCTGCATCCTCTGCCTGCGCGACTGGCCGACCGAGCTCCGCCAAGGAAGCCTTCAGCCGCGCAATACGCGCCTCGAGATACTCGATCTCATCTTCCTGGTCCTCGCACGTGCGGTCCATGTCAGGCAAGGCCGTTACTGCGCGTCGTGCCTTCTGTATCTTGAGACGGATGTCGTTGGCGGCGGTCGCAACATGTTGGATCTCAAGAGGCCCTTCGGCAGCAAGCTGTGCGGGTGTGGGTGTTGCCGCGGGTGGCTGAGCAGGCACCTCGAGTATGCGCTTGAGAAGCTTGTGGAGGTCGGGCAGGATGTCAAACGTCGAGGGCGGAGGGAGGGCCGGGGTGCTCGCGGTCGGGGGTGGGGGCAGCGCGGGTGTCGCAGAGCCCGTGGGTGCAACTGAGGCTCGCGCTGAGGCAGGCGCATATGGCGTTGCGGCTCCGGACATGGTCGCGACGTCTTGCGAGTCGGCGCGCAACAATGTCTAGCGTGGTGTTGCAGCTGTGGTCACGACGACGCGTGGACGGGATGACGCTCCTTCCACGGGTAAGGCTGGCTGCAAGGGTGGTGATTGGATGGCTACTCCGTGGGCGATAATCGCTTTGGCTGTCTGATACGCGTTTCCAGATGTCAAAGCGATCGCCAAATAGCGCGCTGCTGGTGTCACTCGAGATAAGTTCTGGCCGTGGGTTGTGGGGGGAATGTGGGCCTTTTCGCGGAACGGCTGTGACGTTGACCGGCGATGCTTTTTTGAAGTCGACTGTTTTAGCCCCGCCAACCTTGCCCCTCCGTCAACAAGCCATTCACTGCTCCTTCCTCACCAACCTTCAAACCTCGTTGCCTTGATAACTTCTTGGGCACTATCGTTCCTTCTCTCTGGATTGACCTCATCAGCCCGCAATCATGGCCAAAGTCGACCAGAAGACGGTCCTCATTGTCATTGACGGCTGGGGTGTCGCGACTGAGAACTCGCGCAAAGATGGCGATGCTATCCTTGCTGCAGACACGCCCACCATGGACGAATTCGCAAAGGAGGGCTCCAAGACTGCCCAGGGTTACACCGAACTCGAGGCCTCTTCTCTCGCAGTCGGCCTGCCCGAAGGCCTGATGGGCAACAGCGAAGTCGGCCACCTGAACATTGGCGCCGGACGCGTTGTATGGCAGGACTCCGTCCGCATCGGACAGACCATTAAGAATGGAAAGTTGAAGGATGTAGACAACATCAAGAAATCGTTCCAGCGCGCCATCGACGGTAACGGACGGCTCCACTTCTGCGGTCTGGTTTCCGATGGTGGTGTCCACTCGCACATGGACCACCTCATTGCGCTCCTCAAGGTTGCAAAGGACCAGGGCGTCAAAGAGGCCTACATTCACTTCTTCGGTGACGGCCGGGATACCGACCCCAAGTCCGCGGTCGGGTACATGGAGACTTTGCTGAAGGCGACCAAGGAGATTGGCCTGGGCGACATCGCGACAGTGGTCGGACGGTACTACATCATGGACCGCGACAAGAGGTGGGACCGTGTCGAGCTCGGTATGAAGGGTTTAGTTACTGGAGAGGGCGAGGAGAGCAGCGACCCCGTCGCAACTATCAAGGAGCGATACGCAAAAGACGAGAACGACGAGTTCCTGAAGCCCATCATTGTCGGAGGAAAGGAGCGAAGAATTCAAGGTATAACACTACGCTGAGCACCTGCATGTCTTCTTGCTGATTCGTCCAGACAACGACACCGTCTTCTTCTTCAACTACCGTTCCGACCGTGTTCGAGAAATCACTCAGCTGTTGGGTGATGTCGACCGCTCGCCCAAGCCCGACTTCCCGTACCCGCAGAACATCCACCTCACCACCATGACCTCGTACAACCCCAAATACACTTTCAACGTTGCTTTCGAGCCCCAGAGGATGACGGATGTTCTTGCCGAGACACTAGGAAAGCAGGGCGTCAAGCAGTGTCACGTTGCGGAGACCGAGAAGTATGCTCACGTAACCTTCTTCTTCAACGGTGGTGTCGAGAAGCAGTTCGAGAACGAGGAACGCGAGATGGTTCCCTCGCCCAGGGTAGCCACGTACGACCTAGAGCCGAAGATGAGTGCCATGGCTGTCGCAGAGAAGCTGTGCGAGCGCATCCAAACAGGCAAATTCGAGTTCCTCATGAACAACTTCGCGCCACCAGACATGGTAGGCCACACAGGTGTTTACAAAGCAGCCATCGAGGCCTGCACAGAGACCGACAAGGCTATCAAGAAGGTGTACGATCAGTGCAAGGAGAGCGGATACGTTATGTTTGTCACTGCCGATCACGGGTAAGTCCGCATCGCTGCACCTTCCGAGACAGTGCTAACAGGCTACAAGTAACGCGGAAGAGATGCTTACAGAGGAGGGCACACCCAAGACCTCCCACACAACTAACAAGGTGCCTTTCGTCATGGCCAACGCCCCAGAAGGCTGGAGCCTGAAGAAGACTGACGGCGTACTCGGTGACGTCGCGCCTACCCTACTTGCGACCATGGGTCTTCAGCAGCCTGAAGATATGGACGGTCACAGCTTGCTTGTCAAGTCATAGAGTGTCATTTGTAATTAAGATGTGAGACGAAGGTTTGAGAAGCCTTGTCCCGAGATTCTGCCTCGTTAGATTCATACACATATAGACGACACGAGCTATGATGTATAGAACCATGCATAGAACAATTTCAATAAGCAGCGACACGTATAGCCATTGCTTTTCAGAGACCCTTTTTCCAGCTGTGGATTTATGGATGTTGCGATCAATGCTAGGATGATTGATCCCGGCTGAGCGGCTATGCGCTTGGCAACAGGGGTAAAGTCACCGGCGGGGAATCGTGTGGACCCCTCCTTACGTACTCCAGGGCGCGATAGCCTTCTTTTCGACACTCCCATGGCTTCGTAGCTGAATCCTCTATATTTACACTATTCGCGACACAGTTCATTGTACCGTCAACAGGCAGACTGGCCCCAATCTTGATCATCGCCGACACTATCCCGTCGCGTGCCATCAAGCAGCTCTACGCACGACCACCAACGTCGATCATAAGCCTATCGACTACCCTCAACTCGCTATTAACTTTCGCTATCACTACGCGATATCTACGCTGTGACACATGTTGTCATAAAGTCACATCGCGCTTCCCCGACAACCTCACCTGTCGGTTCCATTGTTTTCGAAACCCAACCTGAGGCATCGGTGCCCGACCACGCCCTCCCCAGGCCCTCGTAATCGCGACACGCGCACGGCACGCCTACTGCAAACACTCCCCATCACGTCAGCTCTCTGAAAAGCGACTCGAGCTCAACAATGGCAACTAGAACTTCCAACGGTGCGTCTGGAGCGCAGGGCGCGCAGACTGCGGCGCAAGTGCAGCCTTGCAGATACAAGACCGGCAAGACATTGGGCGCAGGCAGCTACTCTGTAGTCAAGGAGTGCGTGCATATCGACACGGGAAGATACTATGCGGCCAAGGTCATCAACAAGCGGCTCATGGCAGGCCGAGAGCACATGGTCAGCTCAGCCTGAAGCAACTGATGAACAATGAGACTGACAGGTACCAGGTCAGGAACGAAATCGCTGTCTTGAAAAGAGTATCCATGGGCCACAGGAACATTTTGACGCTTGTCGACTACTTCGAGACTATGAACAACCGTACGTGTTAGGCTTGCCTGGGCTGAATCTCCAGCTGACCTCTACCATAGTGTACCTCGTTACCGACCTTGCGCTTGGAGGCGAACTGTTCGACCGTATCTGCCGAAAGGGCAACTACTACGAATCCGATGCTGGCGATCTGATCCGTGCGACTCTTTCTGCTGTCGCATACCTCCATGACCACGGCATCGTACATCGAGACTTGAAACCCGAGAACCTATTGTTCCGAACTCCAGAAGACAATGCTGATTTGTTGATTGCCGACTTCGGACTGTCTCGCATTATGGATGAAGAGCAATTCCATGTCCTGACGACGACCTGCGGAACACCAGGATACATGGCACCTGAGATCTTCAGAAAGACTGGGCATGGAAAACCAGTGTAAGATATACTGCGCAACTTTGCGATCCATTGCTGACTCTGCTGGTAGTGACATCTGGGCGATTGGAGTTATTACCTACTTTCTCCTCTGCGGTTACACTCCGTTCGACCGCGACTCCAACCTCGAAGAGATGCAGGCCATCTTAGTCGCAGACTACTCCTTCACACCCTTGGAATACTGGAGAGGTGTCTCCCTTACTGCCCGCGAGTTCATCCGCCGTTGCTTGACCGTCGACCCCGCCGCCCGCATGACAGCCCACGAAGCGCTCTCACATCCTTGGATCACCGAGCTGGGCAAGAACAACGCCGATGGAGAGGAGGATCTACTGCCCACTGTCAAGAAGAACTTCAATGCGCGCCGCACACTACACGCAGCTATCGACACGATTCGCGCCATCAACCAGCTGAGAGCAGGTGGTGCCGCTGGCATGATGGATGGCCAGCGATCCGCTGAACCACGGAGAGGAGCCCCTCATGCCAACATTCCTCAACCCGCGGAGGAGCCTGATGACCCTATGGAGATCGACAGCAGAGGAAACGGCCACGGCCAGACTGAAGAGATGATACAGGAGCAAGAGCGGAGGATTAGAGAGACTCAGCAAGGCCTGTGGGGTAAGCGATGATGAGCGTCATCTACCATCTCAACGTCGATTCTTTTCTCAGCACACGTTTTAGAGTGGATGTATTTGGCCCTCAGCGAAATCTCCTTTCGATCACATTTCATGTTCACATTAGCGAAGGCTGGCGCTGAAGCCCTTCTCTCTGCGAATTGGTTTTGAGCAGCTCATGATAAACAATGGTACCGATTCAACAGCACGCAAACTCTTCAACGACGTGGTCTACAGACATACAGCATGCATTCGCGTCCGAACTCTCGATCCCCAAAGCCATGATCTGTTACGCCTTTCTCTTGAACAAACCTTCGGTTGACAGAGGGAGAGTACCTAGATGCTGTATACCAGACCTACGTCAGCTCTGACCTCGTCCTTACACAACAACTCCCAGCCTCGATCCCAGTCGTCTAGCCCCTCACCCCACATCAACTTTAGCATTCCCAAGTCTCTGGCCCGTGCCCAGAATGCCTCGAAAGCCGTATACAAATCCTTGACGTATTGTTCGCCAGCTACCTCAATGCCCTTCTCTTGCAACAAACTTGCATTGACTATGTTTAACGAAGCTCTGTCAGCGAGGCGTTGCGCTGCTTTTTCTGGGTCTTGAGGTGCGACTTCACCACCGACTGTCACCAGCGTGAAAGGAATATTGGGTGCTAATGAAGACAGCACCGACCGCCAATGTGTGTTTGCTCCGGGGCGAGCACCGAAGTCGAAGAGTAGTGTACGTTTCGTACCGGAGACCTTGACCTTCTCGAATGTGTCGTTGAAGTCGTCGTAGAGAGCTACGGTGTCGCACCACCCCGTTCTCTTGATCGCGTCGATAGAGGCTTTCGAACCGACTCCGATGATGCGATCAGGTTGATGATCAACCGGCCGACAGTTTCGGAGCGTATACGCAAAGCAGGAAGCTGTTTTCCCACTCGCATTCAACAAGACAACCGTAGCACCTCCCAAATCGGCGTCCTCAGCGCTCCACTCGCCGTTTCCTGTAGGGTGTATCCTCTTCTTTTGACTTTCCTCTTTGTCTCCCTGCCAGGCAAAGACATGATGGCAAAGATTGTGGCCAACAGTAAACGGGCCCATCATCAGCGTTACCCAACCCAATTGATCTCTTTCCTCCATCTCGCCAGCGGATTGTGGAAGTGGACCGCAAACACGATACCGGTTATACAGCTTCCACAAATGCTGTCTATGCGCATCTACTACAACAATCTGATCCTGAATTACACTCCCGTCTCGTGCATCTCTAGCTCTTTCTACAGTTACGTCCTCCCATTCGGTACTGCTCGGTAGATACCCGTATACGCTCATTCCTTTCTCGATTCCTTCAACCGTGCTTTCTAGTATCTCGGCGTAGCCCCATGCAGCCACACGGCCGTATTTGGTAGGGTCGTTGTACGGAGGTGGTGTTGTAGAAGGAAGCGGATATGTGTCGTACCAACCCATTAGGTGGCCGATGCGTGCGTAAGAGAGGTTGTTTGTTGTAAGGCCTAGGATTTTGGTACGAAGGCGGAGGAAGGAGGAGGGAAGGGGGGTAAGTGGTTTGGAGGTGAGGGGAACGAGGTGATGAGTCGTGTAGTTTGCAAGGGACAGGATGTGCGTAGCTGGCTGGGTAGATAGTGTTGATGAAGTCATATTGTTGACAGGTTTAATGGTGAGCTAACCAAGATTACAGCAGTCTTTCCGGGTACTGATTGTGGCGAGCGCTATCGGTATAGATATGGAGGCATATCTGCAACATCCTCAGTATCGTATATCACTTCAACACGCGTTGGCCAAGACAAGACTTATTGGAAACACTACTCAGTTCCCTGTGACTCAGATAGCCATCCACCCGAGGAACCCCTTACGGGCGTAAGAGTCGATTGGAAGCGAGATATAGATGATGTCTAACCAATTGATGAATCCCCATGCTTACGGCCAAGAATATTGCGGGGCTCAAAAGGGCGTTCTGCTCTAACCAATCCGGGTTGGCAGTGGCATGCTTGCATGAGAACCACCACTCCTTGCGCCTTTCTCTGATCCTTCTATGCAAAGTTGTTATCCGTGTGCGTTCCTTCGGTGCCATTCTCCCGTCTTTCATTCTTCTTATCTCCGTCAACGACCCTGCCACCCGCTTTCCGTCTACTTTGGACCAAGGCCTTAATTAGCGCGACTGTAGCTTCCCATCCTTCTCTCAGCTTGTCCGCACTATCACTTAAATCGGGTACGTGGAGGAACACGACAGGCCTCTCGTCTTGCTTGATACCGAAGTAGTGCGCTAGGCTGTTGTAGTAGATGAAGCCACACAAGAAGTTTCCAGCATCGTTACTAATCCGTACGTCGGGGCATCCTTCGTCGGTCGTAGTGCCATCAACAGATGTGTACCCCATATTGGCTTTCCAGTGTGCGAGGACCTCGGATGTATCAAAGCTAGTGTTCAGTTTGGGCGGATACTTTGAAGATGGGAAGTGCTTTTCCATTTCAGAATCGTCGAATCGTTGGCCATCTACGTCAGGAATCTTCCCATATCCACGCCCTTGAGACCCTTGCTCGATGGCGAAGTATTTCCGTCCAGCTGCTAGGCCGATGTGCAGCACGACATCTGGAGGAGGGTAGAGAGGGTTGGCTGGTGGAAGGAGCTCGGGAACGAGTTTGACGACATTATCGTATGCCACGCGGATAGGCTCGTAGTGAACGTGTATGTTTATCGGCGTTTGGTTCTTGGGTGACTTTGGTATCAGGGCCGGAAGTGTAGACGCAATCTCCCAAGAAGAGTTCTTTGGGAACTTCTCTAGAAAGGGCTAGGTTTATGTTAGTCATTTTCTTGAATCCACCCAACCGTCTGGCTGGAAACATGTCGATGAGGCAGATCAAGGCATGCTCTGGAACACCGGAATGTGAGAAAGTTGATCCAGGTCTCACTTAGACATGATTGGGGGGCCTTGAATTGATTATCGGCACAGGAAAGAGATTAAAACTTACTCCAAAACCCGTAACTAAGACTGTGACTGGCTTCTCCCCCTCTTCACTCGGAGGCTGTGGAGCAGCGTAGGATGTGGGCGGCATCGATGATCGGACTTAGCGGGAATTAGAGGTACTAAACGCAATAAATCAGGCAGTGTTGAGGATGAACTATTACGACGTTAGTACCTGCAGCGGGTGTTTTTGTGTCAGTGGGTCGAGAAGGGTATTGCCTGTAATGATGATGTACAAAAGAGCGACCTGATGACGGCATAGAGGCTAGGACGAAGGTCACGTTTACACCTGCCTAGGAAGGGCTTCACACACACGCGAACAGCAACTTACGATTATCGGAAATTCCAGATGGGTCAGGGATGCACGCCCATTGCAGATCGCGCTTTCAGAAGGCATCGTGGCCAGGTCGTGTTCGGCACTCGGTTAGGTCGAAGCGGCATCTTGGTCTTCCAAATGGTCTAGCGCCAGCCAGAATCCCTGAGGCCGTCGCGCGATGCCTCAACCGCCGACTTTGTTCCCGAATGCTTACCCCACATGTTTACCTTCCAGACCCCACATAGCAGCGCGTCGCCAATCGCCACCAGACGCTTGCTCTCTCGGATGGGGTGTGCTGCAATGCGCTCGGTATCGGGTAGTGCACTTGCTAATATGACGCGTATGTCGTCGCGTGTTAGCAAGTGGATGATTTGTTATTTGGGTGCTGCAGGGCTATTGCATAAGTCCGCAGTCAATGACGTTGACTGATCTGTCGTCTCTCATCGTCCCGAGGTCGGTGTGACTTTCGGATCAGAACCAAAGTAAGTGCGCATAGCGGTGATTGGCAAGCGTCAAGTTCTCTTTCCATTGCACGATGCAGTCGCGCCGTTGATATCAAGCTAACAGCACATTGAAAGACATTTCCCCAACCGCACGCCTATACCCTCGGGACATCACAATGGCTTCCACGGGCTCGTCTTCGAAATCCTACTCGCTCGCCGTAGTAGGCGGTGGGATATCCGGCCTCTGCCTCGCCATAGGCCTCCTCCAGTACGATATCCCGCTTACGATTTACGAAGCCGCACCACACTTTGGCGAAATTGGTGCTGGGGTTGCGTTTGGACCTAATGCCGGCCGTGCCATGGAGCTCCTGTCTCCCAAAATATACCAGGCTTTCTTGAAATGCAAGACAGGCAATGCGGACAATTCCAAATCCGACTCATGGTTCACTATACGGGTGGGTGATGCTAGGAAAGAGGACAAGGAAGGATACGTGAGGGAAGGCAAGAAGGTCGGCGATGCCCTGTTCGATGTGCCTATGCATTCGGGCGGAGGGCGCGGCGGCGTGTACAGAGCTCACTTCCTTGACGAACTCGTCAAAGAAATGCCTGACGGTGTTGCCAAATTCGATAAGAGACTTGTAGAGCTGGGCGAGGCTCAAGATGGCTCTGGAGATGTAGTGCTCACGTTCGCTGACGGTTCCACCGCACAATACAGCGCTGTAATTGGATGCGACGGCATCAAGTCTTTAACGCGAAAGTGGCTAGTTGGGAGAGATAACCCTGCCTCCAAGGCTGTATTCTCCGGAAAGTACGCTTATCGAGGGCTGATACCTATGGATGAAGCTGTGGAGATACTGGGTGATGATGCAGCGCGGAACAGCCAGATGTATCTTGGATACCATGGCCACTTGCTCACCTTTCCAATTGCGCATGGCAAAACGATGAACGGTAAGGCTAGTCATCGTCGAAAGTGCTGTCTTGCTAACAGCCACAGTGGTTGCATTTAGCTCTCGCGATACCTGGGAAGACGAGAAGTGGGTTGTGGCCACATCGAAACAGGAAATGGAAGACGATTTCCAAGGCTGGGGCCCACATGTCACGAAGATTGTCAAGGCCATGCAGAAGCCAGACATCTGGGCGCTGTTCGAGCATCCACCCTGCGACACATACACGAAGGGCCGCGTTTGCTTGCTTGGAGATGCAGCGCACGCGACCACGCCTCACCAAGGGGCTGGTGCCGGCCAGTGTATAGAAGACTCTTACATCCTCGCCAATCTGGTCAAGGACGCGAACGACGTCAATGGTTTGCAGCGAGCATTCAGCGCCTTCGACCAAGTCAGACGAGAGAGGACGCAGAAGATTGTGAAAACAAGCCACGAAGCTGGTCAAATGTATGAATTCGAACTGTTCGGGGACGACCTTGACAAAATTGAGGAAAGCTATAAGCATAGAATGCGATGGATCTGGGACATTGACTTAGAGGCGCAATTGGAGCAAGCGCAGCAGATCATGAAACAATGAAGTTGAGATATGTTCCCCAAGTTATACTCCGGTCGACAAGTCTCGATGCTCGACAAAGCCTCGTGTCTAATCAATGACATCATCTCTCAGAGCGAAGATCTGCTTCAACACTTCGTCTGTCTTGGCACCAATCCCGTTGTGATACATTGTGTTCGTGATGAAAGTCTTGCAGCCTTTGATGGTGTTCGCCGTCTCCATACTCAGGTCGAGGTCAACGTACATGTCGTCCATGTAGACTGCAGCATAGGTCGGTACCTCGTTCTTTCTCAATTGCTCTTTGTCGTACAGTTGCGGCCAGTCTTTCTCTTCAGCTAAGAGGTTACCAACAGTCTTGAGCTTAGCGAGCTCCGGGTAAACATCGAACATAAAAGGGTAGATCATCTCGCCTGTGAAGTAGACAGGCTCATTTCCATCTACGCGCGAGAGTGAGAACTCAGGATACTTCGGGAGTAGGCGCTCCGCAGACCAATTCGAGGCCTGGCCTTGACAGTAGATGGGTTCATGGAGGAGAGCATAGATGACATTGGAGTCCCAGCTCTGCGCTGCCTCCAATGCGAGTACAGTAGGTCGTGTAAGATGCCCGAATTGGGTCAGATCGGTATCGGCGCGAAGCACAAACTCGTGGACGTCATCGAAGCCTCCATGCTTGCCAAAGTAGATTCCCAGTTGTAGAAATCGACGTGCAGAGAGATAGCCTTCGCCGCCTTGTACGCGCACCGTAGTGTCTCCGAAACGTGAGAGAAGCTTGACAATGCGTTTGACGCGGTCGACGTCTTCAGGATACTTCGCGTAGTATCCCTCGTTCCTGCTCTTGATACGCGCGTAAAGCCGCTCGTAAACTTCATCAGGCCCGTCTCTGAGGGGTGGCAGACCACCGAACAGGAACGCCTCTTTGACTCCCTCGGGGAAGAAAGACAGATAGGTCAAGCAGCAGAAGCCGCCGAAGCTCTGACCCATGATACTCCATCTCTTCTTCTCTTCGGGATAGTCTTCTGTCAGGGCTTTCCTTACAGCCTCACAGTCTTTGACGATACTATCAGCCCTGAAACTCTTCATATACTCTGCTTGTACCTTCTCATCGCCTCTCAATTGTAGACTTGACTGGCTGATGGCAGTTGAGAGACCAGTGCCACGCTGATCCAGCATGAGCACTTGGTAGCCTTTTTCGAGAATGGTCTGAGTCCAGGATACCTTCTCGGGACTACGACA